ATTGGTGAGTTACTGCAGTTACCAAGACTATCAGGATCCAGAGATGACGCATCTATTGATTATCCATTATCAATTAAGGAGTCCTCAATTTGCCACCTAGGGCTGTGTACAGTATCAAATTGGGTGTGGCCTATTGCAATTTCCAAATTAATCCTTTCAGAACCATTGCCTTAAACAACAAATGTTGCCTTCTACAGGCAACAGTGTGGAGCTGGAGGAATACGGCAGGCCAGGCAGCATCAGAGAAGCAGGAAAGTTGATGTTTAGGATTGGGACCCTTCATCAGAAATGGGTGATGTTTCGGTTCAGGACCCTTCTTCAGAAATAGGGTCCCAACCCGAAACGTCAACTTTCCTGCTCTTCTGATTCTGCCTGACCTGCTGTGTTCCTCCAGCTCCACACTGTGTTGTCTCTGACTCCAGCATCTGCAGTTCTTGCTATCTCTAAATGTTGCCCTCTATCTTCCTTTCTGCTTGGAGCTCAAAATAACTAAAGATAATAATAATGAGATCAGGACAGGATGACGGAATTAAGCAAGAGGAGTATCACCTTCAGCATATTAACTGTGGGTACTGAAGACCTGAAACAAAAATGGAAACTACTGGGGAAACTAAATAGTTTGACAATCTTGCAGAAATCTTGACCAGAGGTGGATGTGTGAGATAACTGTCCCTGAAGGAAGGGGCTAGTTTTGAACTAGTAATAGATAGGTTACCTCAGTATATGGAGTTCAGCTTGAAAGTTTCAGGCTGGATGTGTTTTGCTAAAGTGCTGAAGGGATTATTTAAAGCTGAGAATGTCTAAGCTCAGTTGTATGCAGCTGGAAGAAATAGGCGATCAAATTCTTAAGACTGGGAATTAAAGCGACAGTTAAATTAAGCTATATAGGTTTGAGGGAGAAGGGAATTCTCTACGGTGTGAGTTCTCAAAAGGAGTGCTTTTGGAACTAGTGGAATTGTATTTTATGATGTTTCTAAATCTTTCATTTTGTATGAAATGTAACTCGTTTGGTTTATTCGATTTTACCTTCATTAGGTTTGCATCATAACCATTTACTTTATTGTTGAAACCAATTCTACAGCATTGTGCGTTTGTGTTTCAGTGAGAGATTACCTCATTTAAACCAAAACAAACCATAATAAGATCTATCAAGCCTGATCTCAATCATTGATCTGACTTGTCCAGTAATAATATCAGCTGGGATCATAACGCAGGGTACAGTATTACTGAGACTGCATGTAGCAAGGTTAATGCAGTAATCATGGGTGAATTCAATCCAGAATAACACTAATAAGCACCAATGCTATGGAGAATGAATTCCTAGAATGGGTAGATGTGTTGAATGGGTCATCATGGAGTGAGTAATTGAGGTGCAGCATGGATGGCTTCACCAGCCTGAGGGTTTTTATCAGTCACAATGGTTATGTTTGGGAAATATTAATGAGGACAGGAAGCCAGGGGTACGTTGGAAAGGGGGTTATGGATGGGTTGAGCAAGCGTTCCAGTTATAATGTGCATTGCTGTCGTTGATGGAGCCATTATCTAAGGGTGGGACAGGTGATTTCATTGGTCCACATGCCAGGTGTCCTCATTCTGCCACCCAGATAAATCCAGTAGCCGCACAAATGTTTTTTTTTAGTCGCCCATGTACATCCTGTTCAATGGGTTCCCTCACTCAATCTACACATTGCACTGGATATCACACAAGAGTTTTATTCTTGTTGTTTCAATCTTACATTGAACTAAAAGTGGGATGCTTGAGCCCAACTTCCAGCAAATCCTTTTGAATAAAGCCAAAACACATTCTGGTGTGCATTTTTACATTGGAGGTTTTACTATAGGAATGGATATGCAAATTGTTTTGAATTTGGACCAGACCAAATTGAACATGAACAGGTTGGGGCAGGTAACTTGCATTGGGTCAATCAATTGTCCTAGTTGGTCCTAGATTATCCCCTGAAGATGATGGACTATAAACCATTATATACAGATCTTTAAATATGTTACACTGACCTGCGTACATTGGGCATTTGCCCTCTTGAATAGAAAAAAATTCTCAAGGTCAGAAGATCAAAATACAGAATTAATAAATAAATAGGTGCAAAAAGAATGACTTCTTAAAAAAAAATTTGAACATAGGAACATATTAATTAGGAGCAGCAGTAGGCCATTCGGCCCCTCAGTCCTGCTCTGCCAATCAATAAGATCATGATTGATCAGATTACTGCACTTTCCTGCGTTGGAACTTGGGGTCCCCTTAAGACACTGCCCCCTTAATATTCCATATTTAGGATTTCCTGTGTAGCATGAGACCTCATTTAATGGTGTTATATTAGTAACTAACATTCTACAAACATTAACAAAAATTTATCACTACACTACCCAATTATGAATGTCGTGGTTTTTAAAATAAGATTATTTTATTCTTTGAAGAAATGAAATCTCACCTACAAATGGAGGTGGGCAAGGGGATAATAGTCATCTAAATGTCGTGAGTAGCTGTCCCATGGTCATTGGCCAAAATGGTTCAGATAGTTGATTAAACCAGTGTACATTACCTGGCCCAAGAATTACTTTATCTCAACAAGCACTCAGTGGCAGAGGGGACAGTGCTTGTCAAGGAGTTGTCTTCTCCAGTTGAACAATGGACCAGATGAAGAGGAGGAAGACTCAGGAAAGACCTTCCTAAACTCTGTCCTCAGCTAGAAAACAAGATACTGCCTTCCCAACTTTAATCAGACTGACACATTCTGCATACAACAGCCTGTGTATCCTCCATTATCAGTGAGCAATCCACATTTGCCCAGTATTTGTATCTTTTTAAAATCTAGTTAACTAGCTGGCGATCCCACATTGCAGTCAGCAGCAAAGCGGTGGTTGGGGGTGTAAAGGTTGGTGAGCCTGGGTGAGACTTAGCCCAGTGATGGGGAAATCGAGCCCTCTTGGAGAAAGTTCAGCAGAGAGTGTCTGCAGGCCCATGGCTTAAGAAGAACTGTAATGTTGAACTTTTTAACTTATTTCTTTATTTTTCAGATTTTGTACCCAGGTACCTTTGTACCTAAGATGGCGCCAGGAATGGTGGCTTTGTAAACATTTCATTTTACTACTGCACCCCTGTACTTGAGTACAAGTGACAATAAAACCTAATTCTAATTCTAATACTATACTAACTAACTAATACATCATATCTAAACTGCTGCTTCTAACGAACTGAATAAACAATAAGAAAATCATTACTGTAATAGTCTGCTGTCTGCATCAGGTGACTGTGATCAAAAAATCAACACCTGCCTATTCTCCAATAAACCTTCACCCTATGCTTATCAAGAATCTACCTACCTGTACCTTAAAAAAAATCCAGATTCTCCTATTGCCTTGAAGAAGAGAGTTTCCAATAGGTTACGCCATTTTGCTACAGAAAATTTTCTTTATGTCGGTGTTAAATGGTGACTCTCTAATTTTAAATGGTGACTCCCTAATTTTATATGGTGACTCTCTCATTCTAGATTTTCCCACAGGAAGGAAAATCTTTCCCATTCACCTTGTTAAGACACCTCTTTTTCCATGTTTCAATCAAGTCACTTCTTACTCTTCTACTCTCCAGTGGAGAGAAGCCTAGCCTGTCCACCCTTTATTCACAAGACAACCTGGTAAATTCTCCAGCTCTACACCTTGTTATCTCAGATTCTCCAGCATCTGCAGTTCCTACTATCTCTGAAACAACCTGGTAAATGTTTGTTTCTCTGGCATGTACCAAGCAGAGGTGACTTCCCTGTTCAGCGCATTCATGTTCCCAAGAATCTTCACAATGGAGAGGTAGACAGAAACAGAAGACCAGTCAGACACTCAAAATATTACTTCAGCTATGCTTGCAAGCCCAGTGTTAGCGCTCTAAGCATTGATTCCCACAGCTCAGAGACACCAGCTAAGAGCTGGTAAAATGGCAACATCACCTCAGGACTGGTATTACCCATTGGGACTGTCAAAGGCTACAGCAACTTGCAACACTAAAAACAACAATGAAAGTCTATCCCATATGTGGCACTCATGGCAGAACCTGTCTTTAACAGACTGACCTCCTCAGCCATCAACAAGAGTACAACATGAGAAGTTGCCCCTTCATTCACAGATTTGATCTGCTGCATCTTTACCAACTCATGTAAGTGGAAGGAGCCAAGGTGAACACAAGATTTTTAAATCGAACAAAAACTGAAGCTCAATTGAAATACTGACTGTAATCATCAGAGCTCAGAGTATAGCCAATGTGGTACTGAGAAAGTTAGAACTCTGCTACAGACTGTTAGCCCAGAGTTTCTGCTCAAAATAAAGAGAAATCAAGCTGAAATTTCAGTGCTTTCTTAATAGCTTTCATTGAAATTAATGAAATAAAGAACTGCAGCTGCTGGAAATCTGAAACAAAGGCAGAAATTGCTGAAGAAACTCAGTATATGTGGCAGCATCTGTGGAGAAAGAAACAGAGTCAACCTTTCAAGTCACTGTGTCATCCTGTCAGTAGATCCGAAACGTTAATTCTGCGTTCTCTCTACAGATGTTGTCAGACATGGTGAGTTTCCACAGCAATGTCTGTTTCACTGAAGTTATTCGTAGTCTATGTTGAACCAAGTGATATTTGATGGGCCAGAACAGGGCTTACTACAATTGATTTCAATGCTTCCAAATGAAATGGAGGAAAAATCAAGCCACCATTCCAGATCACTCTTTGATGTCGAGACAATGCAGATTTGTTGATATTGGATCTATGAAGCAGTAGCTTGCAAACTCTCATGCTGAGCTTCAAAAGAGTTTGTCTTTGGGTCAGGTACCAAGAGACTATTAGTGTCACTGCAGCCAATCTCTAGCAAGAGTCTCCAAGGAGAGGAGCAGTAAACTGTTTGCAAACTGCTTGCCACTTCATTAATTGTGGAGTTCACTGATTGTGTGAATAAATGACTCCTCGTTACAAGTACAATGAGTTCACAATGTCACAGTTCTTCACCTACCTTACAGACCCTGGCAACCCTGGAGAAAATAGACCTGTCAGAGGTGCTGCTGTCCTCTGTTGCTTCCCGAAAGAAAAAATATATTTTATCATCGTCAGTATTGTAGGTGTCCGGGATGGAAAATGCTCCGAGAAACTTTGCTTCTGTAAATACAAATTTGCCACTTAGTGCACAGAGACAGTTACTAATGAGCAAATTTAAGAAACTGCAAATGACATTGAATATTTAAATAGTCACAGGGTCATAGTGATGTACAGCGTGGAAATAGACCTTCGATCCAATTTGTCCATGCCACCCAGATAGCCTAGATAAATCTAGCCCCACTTGCCAGCAGTTGGCCCATATCCCTTTAAACCCTTCCTATTTATGTACCCATCCAGATGCCTTTTAAATGTTGTAATTGTACCAGCCTCCACCACTTCTTCTGGCAGCTCATTCCATACATGCACCACCCTCTGTGTAAAAAAGTTGCCCCTTAGGTCCCTTTTAAATCTTTCCCCTCTCACCTTAAACCTCTGCCCTCTAGTTTTGGACTCCCCCACCCCAGGGAAAAGACCTTGTTTATTTACCCTATCTATGCCCTTCCCGATTTTACAAACCTCTGTAAGATCACACCTCAGCCTCCGATGCTCCAGGGAAAATAGCCACAGTCTATTCAGCCTCTCCCTATAGCTCAAACCCTCCAACCCTGGCAACATCCCTGTAAATCTTTTTTGAACCCCTTCCAGTTTCACGACATCCTTCTAATATCAGGGAGACCAGAACTGCACACAGTATGCTAGAAGTGGCCCAGCCAATGTCCTGTACAGCTTCACTATAACCTCCTAACTCCTATATTCAATGCACTGACCAATAAAGGCAAGCATGTCAAACGCTGCCTTCACTATCCTATCTACCTGCGACTCCACTTTCAAGGACCTATGAACCTGCACTCCAAGGTCTCTTTAGAGACAACAAGGTGCAGGGCTGGATGAACACAGCAGGCCAAGCAGCATCATAGGAGCAGAGAGGCTGACATTTCAGGCCTAGACCCTTCATCAGAAAAGGGGGAGGGGAAGGGGGTTTTGAAATAAATAGGGAGAGAGTTGGAGGCGGATAGAAGAGGGATAGAGGAGAGGATAGGTGGAGAGGAAACAAACAGTTCGAAGAGGCGGGGATGGGGCCAGTAAAGGTGAGTGTAGGTAGGGAGTTAGGAAGGGGATAGGTCAGTCCAGGGAGGACGGACAGGTCAAGGGGGCGGGATGAGGTTGGTCGGTAGGAGATGGAGGTGCGGCTTGAGGTGGGAGGAGGGGATAGGTGGGAGGAAGAACAGGTTAGGGAGGCAGGGACGAGTTGGACTGGTTTTGGGATGCGGTGGGGGGAGGGGAGATTTTGAAACTTGTGAAATCCACATTGATACCATTGGGCTGCAGGGTTCCCAAGCGGAATATGAGTTGCTGTTCCTGCAACCTTCGGGTGGCATCGTTGTGGCACTGCAGGAGGCCCAGGATGGACATGTCGTCTGAGGAATGGGAGGGGGAGTTGAAATGGTTCGTGACTGGGAGGTGCAGTTGTTTATTGCGAACCGAGCGTAGGTGTTCTGCAAAGCGGTCCCCGAGCCGCCGCTTGGTTTCCCCGATGTAGAGGAAGCCACACCGGGTACAGCGGATGCAGTATACCACATTGGTAGATGTGCAGGTGAACATCTGCTTGATGTGGAAAGTCTTCTTGGGGCCTGGGATGGGGGTGAGGGAGGAGGTATGGGGGCAGGTGTAGCACTTCCTGCGGTTGCAGGGAAAAGTGCCGGGTGTGGTGGAGCTGGAGGGGAGTGTGGAGCGGACAAGGGAGTCACGGAGAGAGTGGTCCCTCCGGAAAGCAGATAAGGGTGGGGAGGGAAAGATGTCTTTGGTGGTGGGGTCGGATTGCAGATGGCGGAAGTGTCGGAGGATGATGCGTTGGATCCGGAGGTTGTTGGTGTGGTACGTGAGGACGAGGGGGATTCTTTTTTGGATCTTATTGCGTGGACGGGGTGTGAGGGATGAGTTGTGGGAGATGTGGGAGACATAGTTGAGGGCGTTCTTGACCACTGAGGTGGGGAAGTCACGGTCCTTGAAAAACGAGGGCAACTGAAATGTATGGGAGTGGAATGCCTCATCCTGGGAGCAGATGCGGCGGAGGCGAAGGAATTGGCAATAGGGGATAGCATTTTTGCAGGAAGGTGGGTGGGAGGAGTATTCCAGGTAGCTGTGGGAGTCGGTGGGCTTGAAATGAATATTGGTTTCTAGGTGGTTGCCCGAGATGGAGACAGAGGTGTCCAGGAAGGGGAGAGAGGTATTAGAGATGGTCCAGGTAAACTTAAGGTTGGGGTGGAAGGTGTCAGTGAAGTGGATGAACTGTTCGAGCTCCTCGTGGGAGCACAAGGCGGCGCCGATACAGTCATCAATGTAACGGTTGAAGAGGTGGGGTTGAGGGCCGGTGTAGGTACAGAAGAGGGATTGTTCCACGTAACCTACAAAGAGGCAGGCGTAGCTTGGGCCCATGCGGGTACCCATGGCTACCCCCTTTGCCTGTAGGAAGTGGGAGGAATTGAAAGAGAAGTTGTTGAGGGTGAGGACGAGTTCGGCTAAGCGGATGAGGGTGTCAGTGGAGGGGGACTGGTCGGGCTTGCAGGACAGGAAGAAGCGGAGGGCCTTAAGGCCATCTGCATGGGGAATGCAGGTGTATAGGGACTGGACGTCCATGGTAAAGATGAGGTGTTGGGGACCGGGGAATTGGAAGTTCTGGAGGAGGTGGAGGGCGTGGGTGGTGTCACGGACATAGGTAGGGAGTTCCTGGACCAAGGGGGAGAAAATGGAGTCTAGATAGTTGGAGATCAGTTCGGTGGGGCAGGAGCAGGCGGAGACAATGGGTCGACCAGGGCATTCAGGTTTGTGGATTTTGGGAAGGAGATAGAAGCGGGCAGTGCGAGGTTGGGGAACGATGAGGTTGGAGGCCGTGGGTGGGAGGTCACCTGAGGTGATGAGGTTGTGGATGGTTTGGGAGATGATGGTTTGGTGCTCAGGGGTGGGGTTATGATCAAGGGGGCGGTAGGAGGAGGTGTCGGAGAGTTGGCGTCTGGCCTCGGTGATGTAGAGGTCAGTGCGCCATACTACAACTGCGCCTCCCTTGTCCGCGGGTTTTATGGTGAGGTTGGGATTGGAGCGGAGGGAGCGGAGGGCTGCACGTTCTACACCTGCCCCCATACCTCCTCCCTCACCCCCATCCCAGGCCCCAAGAAGACTTTCCACATCAAGCAGATGTTCACCTGCACATCTGCCAATGTGGTATACTGCATCCGCTGTGCCCGGTGTGGTTTCCTCTACATCGGTGAAACCAAGCGGAGGCTTGGGGACCGCTTTGCAGAACACCTACACTCGGTTCGCAATAAACAACTGCACCTCCCAGTCGCGAACCATTTCAACTCCCCCTCCCATTCCTCAGACGACATGTCCATCCTGGACCTCCTGCAGTGCCACAATGATGCCACCCGAAGGTTGCAGGAACAGCAACTCATATTCAGCTTGGGAACCCTGCAGCCCAATGGTATTAATGTGGATTTCACAAGTTTCAAAATCTCCCCTCCCCCTACCGCATCCCAAAACCAGTCCAGCTCGTCCCTGCCTCCCTAACCTGTTCTTCCTCCCACCTATCCCCTCCTCCCACCTCAAGCCGCACCTCCATCTCCTACCGACTAACCTGATCCCGCCCCCTTGACCTGTCCGTCCTCCCTGGACCGACCTATCCCCTTCCTAACTCCCTACCTACACTCACCTTTACTGGCCCCATCCCCGCCTCTTCGACCTGATTGTTTCCTCTCCACCTATCCTCTCCTCTATCCATCTTCTATCCGCCTCCCACTCTCTCCCTATTTATTTCAGAAGCCCCTTCCCCTCCCCCTTTTCTGATGAAGGGTCTAGGCCCGAAACGTCAGCCTCTCTGCTCCTATGATGCTGCTTGGCCTGCTGTGTTCATCCAGCCCTGCACCTTGTTGTTTCGCATTCACCAGCATCTGCAGTTCCTACTATCTCCAAGGTCTCTTTGTTCAGCAACATGCCCCAGGACCTTACCATTAAGTGTATATGTCCTGCCCTGATGTGCCTTTCCAAAATGCAGCACTTCACATTATCTAAATTATACTCTATCTGCCACTCCTCGGCCCATTGGCCCATATGATCAAGATCTTATTGTAGTCTGAGGTAACCTTCTTTCCTGTCCATTACACTACCAATTTTGGTGTCATCTGCAAACTTATTACCCGTACCTCCTATGTTAACATCCAAATCATTTATATAAATTATGAAAAATAGTGGACCCAGCATTGACCCTTGTGGCACACCATTGGCCACAGATGTCCAGTTTGAAAAGCACCCTCCACCACTATCCTCTGCCTTCTACCTTTGAGCCAGTTCTGTATTCAAATAGCTAGTGTTCCCTGTATTCCTCGTGATCTAACCAGTCTACCATGAGGAACCTTGTTGAACGCCTTACAGAAGTCCATCTAGATCACCTCCACCACTCTGCCCTCATCAATCCTCTTCGTTACTTCTTCAAAAAACTCAATCAGGTTAGTGAGACATGATTTCCCACACACAAAGCCATGATGACTATCCCTGATCAGTCTTTGCCTTTCCAAATACATGTAAATCCCATCCCTGAGGATTCCCTTCAACAACTTGCCCACCACCAATGTCAGATTCACCCGTTTATAGTTCCCGGGCTTTTCCTTACCACCTTTCTTCAATAGCGGCATCGCATTAGCCATCCTCCAGTGTTCTGGCACCTCACCTGTGGCTATTTATGATCCAAATATCTCAGCAAGGGGCCCAAGAATCATTTCCCTAGCTTCCCACAGAGTTTGAGGGTACACCTGATCAGATCCTGGGAATTTATCCACCTTTATGCATTTTAAGGATCCAGCACCTCTTCCTCTGTAAGATGGGCATGTTGCAAGATGTCGCTCTTTATTTCCCCACGTTCTTTAGTTTCCATAGCCTTTCCAACAGTAAACACCAATGTAAAATATTTGTTTAGTATCTCCCCCATTTCCTGCGGTTCCACACATAGGCAACCTTGCTGATCTTTAAGGGGCTCTATTCTTGCCTCACATACCCTTTTGTCCTTTATGCATTTATAAAATTCATTTGGATTCTCCTTAACCCGCTTTGCCAAAGCTATCTCGTGTCCTCTTTTACCCTTCTGATTTCCCTCTTAAGTACACTCCTACTGCCTTTATACTCTTCTAAGGATTCACTCATTATCTGCTGTCTATACCTGACATATGCTTCCTTCTTTTTCTTGACCAAAAACTCAATTTCTCTAGTCATCCTGCATTCCCTGCACCTACCAGCCTTGCCCTTCACCATAACAGGAACATACTGTCTGTGGATTCTTGTTATCTCATTTTTTGAAGGCTTCCTCGCTGAATGTTTTTAAGGCAAGGCTAGATAAATTTTTGAACAGTAAAGGAATTAAGGGTTCTGGTGAGTGGGCGGGTAAGTGGAGCTGAGTCTCGAAAAGATCAGCCATGATCTTATTAAATGGCGGGGCAGGCTCGAGGGGCCGGATGGCCTACTCCTGCTCCTAGTTCTTAAGTTCTTAGGTTCTTATTTTCCGGTATATCCACCCCAATCAACTTTTAAAAGATCTTGCCTAATACCGTCAAGATCAGCCTTCCTCTAATTTAGAACTTTAAATTTTAGATCCGGTCTATCCTTTTCCATCACTATTTTGAAATCAAAAGAATTATAGTCACTAGCCCCAAAGTGCCCCCCCCACCACTGACACCTCAGTCACCTGCCCTGTCTTATGTCCCAAGAGTAGATCAAGCTTTGCCCCTTCTCTAGTAGGTACATTCACAAGATTTTTTAAAAAAATCAATGATGCCTTTTCGTTCAAAATTGTATTATTTTATATCCATGCACTCTCTAATCCGCTACCCTTCTTTTTGCGTTGGAGGAAAAAAACAAGTGAATTTCTCATCCATCCCACATTCCCCCTCTTTAACACGTTTGGCATTTGTTGGTCTCACTGAAAATGCATGAGAGCAGAAAGTAACTTGGTCTAAAAATGGGCAAAAGAGCAAGCTAGAATAAACGTCAAGAAGAATTTGCTCATTCAGAGAATAATTGGCATTTGAGTGGACTTTGAAGTCAAGTATCAGACAGGAGACAATCAATGGCAGAGTGTGTGGGATATTTTCTTTGGTTGGATGATCTATTTTAGGTCAACCCCTCTCATGTATAGTTACCTGGTGACTAGAGCTTTGGGTCCAGATACTCCCAGATTAACTGCAATTTTAGCCAGTCTACTCTCATTAGGACTCAGATATTTGGAATACTCGGCAATTATAAGTTATCAGCAAGGACACCACTTCTCAGATTTGTGTCTATATGTGTGCTAGAGAGTAGGGTCAAGATATGTGTCCTGGTTTATATTGAGTGGAACTCAAGGACAGACATGGTTAGGTATGCACGCACACAGCTGCAACATCTAGGCTGGGTAAGTGGAATTACTGCATACTGCAGAAGGGAGCATTACTTCTATCATGGCAATGAAGATGACAAATGAAATCTATACAGTTTACAAGAAGTCACCAACAAAATCAGCTTTGTCAGCATGAATCTGAAGTGGTTTGTGAAGACTTTCTATGGTTGGGCTCCCATTTCCCAGTGCCTTGGAAATCAGGCTGACCATCTCCCTCTGCGTAAGATTGAAACCTTCAGTTGGCATATATCAAAAACCATTGTCTTTTGATTCTAAAGCACTAATGTAGTCATGGCATTTATCAACCAGATCTAATATCTTTACATGAGAAATGACGAAATGGTACATTGCTCCAAATGAAAACAGCAGTAATTAAAGAAGATGCTAATTCCTATCAGTCAAGAAGGTTTACCAGCTTCATAAACTCATCACCGTCATCTGTAACATTAGTGTAAATGACATGACATCCAAATCTCAATACTATTCATTTGATCTCCCATAGACTGTATTCAATCACCTAAAAATGTGAAGAAGTGATTGCACCCTCATACCATTGAGCCAGTAATGTTCGGAGAGATCTGTGCGGATGTAATGCCGACTGGCTGGAGGTCCCAGAGAGCGGGAGAAAGCAGTGTCTCTGCCATGAAAAT